TTGCACTCAAGGTTCTTGGTCTGAAAAAAATAAAAATTCTCGCGCCGAATGGTCAACCAGCCTAGTTCAGCTCGTCGCCACCTGCTCCCTCCTCCTTTGATGGCGAAGCCAGGTTACTGAGGCAATACAGCTCCCTCTAGCAAACCTAGGGCCGTGTAGTGCCCGTCCACCTTTCTGATGATGTCTGCCTCCGCGCACAAAAATGAGATGGGCATCACTGCCAACGCCGACGGCCAGAAAGGCCCGCGCATCTACATTTTCCCGCCTGACCCCATCAGTGCCGACCCAACTCCACCACCACACGCACCACGCCTCGCGGCGGATGCGCAGCAGCAAGAAGGTTTCGGTCATCCCTTGAGGGTGAGTCTAGCCCTGCTCGCCAGAAAGACCCCCCCCTTCGCTACAACCCATGTCTAAGCAAAAGCTTGTCGAGGAGCGAGGGGAAGAAGGGAGAGGGAGACACTGGACCAAGACATTTTTTCTCTACTCCTTCACAAGTAACCCCCTCCCAGCAACACGATCCCTACTGCTGTATCCAGCTGCTGTTAGCAACGGGGCGCGTCTACAACCCCGATCACCATTGTCGATCACATGACAGTGAGGGGTGCCCCCCTCGGTCTGTACATCAATGAAAGATCATACACAAGGGCAATCAACCACATGTTGGGGGAGGGTGCCCCCTCACAGTCTACACATCAGAGGACGATCGAAGCAGCATATCAGTCATCAAAAGTTCGTCAACCAACCTGTTGGTACCTGCAAATATAAGAGACGCTGGTCGCCATCTATCACAAAAAGCGCGTCACATGTCAGCCCTCCCTGATTTGAGGCAAATAACCCGGCCTCAAGTCAGAAATAATGACCGAGAAATAATTCCGAACATCGTCAGTCAAATTGATGTGACCGCGGTGCCTCGCGGATCACCGATCCTCAAAAACAAGACAACAACGGAATGCCACACCATTTTCAGTATTTCATCGTGCAATGAGCCTCATCATGGCTTAGCCTGCGCGGTTAGTGACTGAAATGAGCATGGTATACCGGACAGGCAACATCGAGTTTCGTGAACTGCGTTCGTATCAGACAAGAAAAAACGACGAGCGAGCGGCGAAAAAATAACACACAAGAACAAATCCCCTCTGTATTTTCTTCAGTCGCATCATCAAAATCGGCTGTTTACGGGAAAATGCCGACATGCTCCTCGTGAGTCGGGCCGGCCTCGCCCCCGCCAGAGTTCCCAGTCTTTCGCAGACATGTTGTGTGTCTTCCCACGATACCATGGCGTTAACGCCACAAAAGAACTTTGGCGGGGGCGAGGCCGGCCCGGCTCACGAGGAGCTCAGTAAGACGGCCATCGACCACACCGTGGGCGACGCCAGCACCAGACTGGAGAAGATTGTGACGGAGAAAATGGGAGGCAACATGGACACCTTGTCCCGGTTAGTGCCCGGGGCACCGCCCGCCGGTAGTGCGACCGCAGCGCGCGGCCGGGGGGGAGTCAGTAGGGAAGACGCACGCCTTCCCTGGCGCGGGTCAGCTGGACCAAGCGCCGAATACCGAACGAGGGCTCGAGGGAGCGAGAGGGCTGCGAGGCCCGGAACCACGAGAGCCTTCGCCACCCGAGGGCGCTATCTCGCGAGAATACCAGAGAGAGGAGCACGCTTCACGGTGCAGACTTGTGGAATGGGTCGTGCCTTGAGCGACAGCAGAGACATTGTAGTCCACTGCTGTGCGAGTGCATGCCCAGAGAAGGTTCGCTAGAGGTGCGGAAAGAAGGGGCACAATGCAAAAAAACTGCCCATCGAGAACTGAGACTGCAGTCACCGCAGTAGAAGTTGGATTTGGTGCTGTCGAGTTGGACGTCGCATACCAAGCACATCTATAAAATATAGTGTTGATTGGCCCCAAGCCGAGTGCTGCTGGATAAGCACGGCTGTCCCGGTTGACAATGTGAAGAGATGGTAAAGTCATTTGATTGGTCGTCGTCGTAGACACCAGCAACGAAAGAGAGAGGGCACCAGGGTGCATCACAAACACCGAGGCAAGCAACAGTCGCAAGACACATTCGGAATTCGGAACACATGACAGCACGGAACGTGAGACAGCTTGCCGAAGAAATCACTACCGGAGGTACCCCGAAGATCCAAATGACCGATGGACGGCCACGTACTTGCGCACTGACATAGCTCAAAACCACACATGAGTACTACCGCAGTAGCCTTCGTAAGGATGGCATGATCCACCTCACCAACACCCAAAACCCATTCATTCGCTGCTGTTCGCTTGACTGCTGTCTGTTGAGCCCGAGCCGAATACTCTGTGGTATTACTCTTACCGTAGCACGATGAAAAAGTTCTTCCGCAAGTGCCACATGGTCGCGACGTAGCCAAGGCTGATCAAGGCATATGCTGAGGAAAAGACGAGGATGAGGGCATCGATCACCAACCGCGCGATTCCCATGGAAACGGCGGCGGCGGTGGCGGTGGCGGCGACGGTTGTAGCCCCGGTACGCTCAGCAGAGCGCAAAATCCTAGGATGTGACGATCTGGCGTGGGCCGCCCGGCTCCTTACCCCCTTACGTAGCTTGGGTGGCTTCTTGTCGGGTTGAGGATCTTTCTCTGTAGCGGTGAGAGGTCGGGAGAGGAAGAGTAGTAGATCACCGACAGAGAGCGCAGCGTTGTTGCAAGGGAGGGGGGTACTACATGATTGGCCTCTGTGCCTGAGAAGTGTGCGTCCTTCAGCGGGGGTGTCCGGTGAAAATTGTGTAGCCAATTGTGCCGCTTTCGCGATTCGTATTGTACTTGATAGTCTAAATGTTCATCTTCCAAAACTGAAAATATTTGCCGATCGATCCCGCTTCGTTAAGAGAAAAATAATATGAGATCCGAGACGGAGACGCAGCAGCCAGAAAGTACATCGATCGACTGCACCACCACAGCTAGGACACAGGCGAGGAGGGGCAAGAGTAGGATCTTGAAGTATTTACCGCACAAAGGGGAGGAACAGAAAGCTCTTGTTTTTCCTTCTCCACGAAACTGCTGTAAATAAAGCAGTTAGTCTAGGGATCATATACAACGCGTTCACCCGTCCTGTTCTGGATGTAGACTAGACTAGACTACATATAAATGTAGAAAGCGTTGTTGTTTTTATTTTTATTTTGTCTTCACTTCAAATCAGCGCTCACGGCACTAGACTAGTATCGTTTACTCCAACCCCTGGTCACACAGAAGAGCCCCGCTCTACCCTCCCCTCCTGCGGTACTTTGCCTTCGATTTTTAATGCGAGAAGAGTTCAGCACTCTCTTCCCTCTGTGTACACACGAACTAGCGCTATCCACTAGGACAAGAGCGGAAGCGAGAGAAAAACTCACTTTGCAAGAAAAGTTCGCTTACGCCGGGATTCGAACCCCTGACCTGACCTCTACAAGGTTTCGAGGTTACCGAAACCACCGGGCGGGGCGATCGGCGTTGTTTAGTGGGGCAACAACAGCGAGCAGAACATTCCAATTTCCCCCTTACCGGTAAATCAAACACCACGAACATCCGTATACAGTACTAGACTATAGTACTTGTTAGATATGCTCGCAACAGCAGTATCTGGTCGTGAGGATCCCAGGGGGATACGTGTTGGGAATTTCGTGTGTTGAAGGGTACCACCGGCGCAGTCACGGGGACCCTTTGGGCGTGGTCGGTGCGATTATGAGGCTTGCGTGCGTGCTGCGCACTTCTTCTTCTTCTTCCCTCTCTCTCTCCACCACCACCACCGTCTCTCTCCAATCAAGTTTTCCTCTCCCACTCTCTCTCCGACTCTCTCCCAACCTCTCTCTCTCGGTCTAACACGGCCGACTACCCAGCGCCCCAAAGTAACGTCCAGAACGTGCTTGCTGCACCCCGCGGAGTTCACCTTTCACACTAGTGCGACGATATCACGGTATCTGCGTGCGGGCGTAGCCTTCCGGGGGTTGTGCAGTCACGCGCATTCGGTAGACTCCCACAACAACATAAACCATGGAGGGCATCGACCTCTCCGCGAGCTTAATTCTGGCGTGTGAGAGTCCCCAAAAGGGCTGGAAAATCGTGACAGAATTCTATCAGGAGAAAAAGCAGTCAGAAAAGTCGAGGTTGGAGCAGGACTGGAAGGAGTTGGAGATGAGAGAGAGTCCACAGNGTGGAAAATCGCGACAGAATTCTATCAGGAGAAAAAGCAGTCAGAAAAGTCGAGGTTGGAGCAGGACTGGAAGGAGTTGGAGATGAAAGAGTCCAAGAGTTCACAGGATTACATTGCCCGCTCAGAGGCCCTTTGCCTGCGTCTCGCATCTGTAGGCACGATTAAGGATGAAACAGATGCAAACAAAGACATTGCTCGTGGCCTTCCCTCTTCGTTGTATGCCGTGCAAAAAGGAAT